CCTCCACATTAGCAGATCTACACAGAAGCTCCAAACTGGAAGTTGGCACAACGTGGGAAGCATTTCTAGAAGAGTCAGGCTTCCTGCTCAGCCTTGCAGAGGTCATCTGCTCCCCACGAGTAGCACAACCAGAGGAGATCCGGGGGGGGGGCACAGGGGCTGTTTGTGGCAAACAGCTCATGTGTGGAGGAGGACTGGCAGGATGCCCTGAAGCAGGTACAACTATAGTGTTACTGCCTTCCTCAGTGCAGAGGACTGCCAAGGGGGCAGATGTTGGCATTTCTGAGTCCCCACTGTGACTTGCAGAAGGGTGTTTGGAATGGGACAGCACCACTGAACTGTGAGGAGTGTTGCTGGAGTCTGCACTGGATGAACTGGGAACTGGTTCTAGAGAGGGTTCAGGAATCAGAGACATAGTAGAACTGGTCTGCAAAAAGGAGACAGAAGGAATAAGGAGAGAAAAAAAATAAAAGACAGAGGTAAGGAGATGAAAAAAAGCAAAGAATTAAGCATTATAACAATCATGACCTTCAAATCAAAGAGCGATATTGATCCAAAGCCTTACTTCCAAGAGTAAGGAAGGAAAATGAGTTATCAAAAAGAACAGAACTAGTATGACACTGTGCTGATCTTAACATGAGATTACAGGAGATGAAATTCTACAGCCATGGAGATCCTTTTCCTTTGCCCTTCTAAGCGACAGCTCATGTGTTCACCTTCAGCTGTGATGGAGTCATGCAGCAGCCACAGGGAAGCCAGCTACAAGCCCAGGAATGTCTAGGCTGTGAATAAAGGTCACGTTAACTTTACTCATAGTTGGCATGTAAAAAGCTGAGAAATGGCATTTCAAAGCTGAGAAAAAGCAATCAATGAACAGAACAAAGCATGACATTTTCTTCTTGATACACTAATAAAATGCTGCAGTTTGCTGAGTTCATGGCAATGAAAACAAAGCTTCAGGGCATTCACAGCAGGAACAGATAACATGGGCTTTGTTCTATTCACATCACTAATCTCACCTTCTAGAGACACATACTGAATGTACATGAGTCTGTCAGTCACTCCATGCCCTTGTAACCACTGCTTAGGTGGCTAGATTAGCCTCTTCCCCTTAGGCCAAAGACTACACATTTACACTGTAATAAAATCAGTATTAATTTTGATCTAAAATACACTCTAATTAAAGCAACCAACACAGTTTTTGGTTTTCCTTGACTTACAGGGTGTTTGGAAAACATGGGTTTTGAAAAGACCTGGGATCATGGGCCCTCCTTTCCCCATTTTCAGTGATTCCTGGCTAAACTCTAGGAGACAAACTGGCATTACTCCTTTTTCTTTAAGAGGGAAAATCAGAACAGTGGCTTGGACAAGTTCACACAACAGGTCAACCTAAGGCCAGTGCCGAGCCCTCTGTTTTAAAAACAGATCTACAAAGGGTTTCCAAATCCAAGAGCTATGAAGACCTGCGCTAATTCTTAGTCACATTTTTCAAAGAAGCCTCAAGAAGTTGGATGTTTATACTCTAAGGTAACAGGGCACAGAACTTCCTAAGCCCATGTAAGGTATCTCAGCCTCTACTTATCTTTCTGAGATACTCATCATGAATAAAAGGATAAAATTAACCAGAACATGAACAAAATCTGCCAGTAGATGTAAGAGACATACTTTCAGCTGCTACCATCCTACAGGGTCAGGAGCTGGCAACAGACACACAATAGTGCCAGAGGGAGACCGTGCTCAGAAAGGAATGAGCAATAGGTTAGACATAAGGAAGAAGCTCTTCCCTGTGAGGGTGCTGAGGCACTGGCACAGGCTGCCCAGAGAAGTGGTAAATGCTCCATCCCTGGCAGTGTTCAAGGCCAGGCTGGACAGAGCTTTGGGTGACATGGTCTAGTGTGAGGCATCCGTGCCCATGGCAGGGGGTTGCAGCTGGATGATCTTCAGGTCCTTTCCAATCCAAACCATTCTATGATTCTATGAATAGGAGACCACAGTTCATTATAGATTGCTCCTCCCTTTGAGTGGCACAGCAAGACCCACACTCACAGCAGAGAGGAAAAGGACTAATAAGTACATTCAGTAGTTAACATGAGGGAATTTCCTAATACTGCCTTCCCTCTGTATTTTGCCCAAGGTGGATGCACCTGTAAAAGTAACCTGTGTTTCTGCTGTGGTTCACACTTAGGTTTCCAGACTTCCTAAAATGAAGTCAGTCATTTTCAAGGCAAGACTAACGTTTCACTCAAAAGCAACTATTTCCAGCGTATTAAAAATATATTAGCTCCAAAGTAAGAGCTCAACAGTAATAGAACAGTTAAATACAAGCGTCTAGCTATGCAGTAAAAGCAGGCATTGTATTACACAGAAATGGCAGGGGTCAAAGAAACAAGAGCATTAAGTAATCTCAATGCCCACTGACTGATGAGCTAGATAACCAAAATCAAATGGATTCTGGAAGCAAACAGAATGAGCAACTCATTAAAGCAAGCAAAAGATGATAAAAGGGTAATGTGTTGGTCTGTAATAGTACCTTTTACTCTGGGTATGAGGGAAATTAAACAGCAGTGCCTCCACTCCTCCAATCCTGATCTAGTGTAACTTCTAGTTGTACTCGCTCCAATTGATTACACATCACACTCAGTTTTTCTGTCCTATTTCTTGCAACCAAATACAGGTCTGGTACTCAAACAGGAGCCTTTCATCTTTCACCTCTGCAAAGACTCCACTTCTCTCCCTTACATCCTAGTACAGACTAGAAGCACATTTTTACAGATGAGCTAAAACCACTGCTTGGCACAAACAGAGGAGCTAAAAACAAACAAAAAGGACTGAAGGGAAAATGAAGCAACATGGAGACAGGAAAAAGGGAACTGTTAAAACCAGTCAATGACAATATTAACATAAGGAAAATGATCACAGAAACCACATACTTTGTGCTTCAGGAAGGACGTGTAGGCACAGACAAGCTCGATACCTCACAGAAATACCAAGGCTGTGTTTATAAAGCCCAAATCTTAAAATCTTGTTGCATTTCAGTTTGCTCTCAGAGCACAGCCAGACACTAAGCCAGGAAGGTGGGCAGTATTATAGAAAGCACCTAGTCTCTGTTATGTAGGTGTTACAGGAGCTGCACAAATATTCTAAAGCCTTTTCTCAAGACTGAAAAGCATTTAAACACCCACAGCTAAAAACATCCCATCATCTAGCAAGGAAAACCTGTGCTAGGCAGGGTCATTCTCAGTTGCCAACAGCTCACCTAGGAGCAAAGGTTGGTGGCAGCAGCCTCACCCTCAGAGTGTTTGCTGAGCCCTGATAAAAGCAGCCGGGGCACAAGGCCACGGCGCCGAAGCTCCCACAGGATGCAGCAGGAGCAAGGCAGGCTACGCCAGCAGCGCGGGTGGGAATTCGCTCCAGCTTCACAACTGTGAAGCTTTCCAACCAGACTGACCAGACTCTTGTGGATATCCTGCACTCTACCCTAGGACCTGGTATGGAGGAAAAAAGGCAACACAAAGGTGTCAATATTTGCAGTAGACTAAATACACACTACAGTAAGTTTAGAGAAAACAGTGAGTAACTCCTAGATTCTCACAAGATGAAGTACCCGTGCCAGAAATGGCACTGGACTCAATCCCAGCAAATGCAAGGCAAGCAAAGGCTCACAGAGCATGCACAATTGCTGCTGGTTCTGAACTCAAGCACTTGGTCAAAACCTAGGGTATTGTAATGACGTCCATGAAACCCGCAGCACACAGCAAAAAAGCTCCCATGAACGGTGGCACAGAGAAAACAAACAGCAAAGCTGCCTTTGAATTTCCTGTCTAGATCTCCTCACAAAACATCAGATCTGGCTGCCCCACGTAAAGTGATGGTAGGAGGAGATGGAGCTCAGCACAGACAAGAAACATGAAGCATGAGCAGGATTTTCCAAATGAGGAAGAAACAGAGTTAGGGACTTTCTCAGGATTAGAAAGCACTTGCACATGTATGTACGAAAGCAAACCCAACAATGACAATGAAGATAATATATTAGATGCTTGATTTCTCCACCTCTCTGAACAAATTCAAGTGGATAACTCAGTAAGGCTATAAGCAAAGCAGCTGAAAATGGAAAGTAAGAAAAGAAAATATTTTTCATTTTGCTATTATTATGGGTAAATGAAGTATCATGAAAATAAGCTCCACAGTTAATCATTGAGTACAAGAATGATAACATACCTACTGAATAAAGAACAAGTTATCCAAGTACATATGCTAAGTAGATATCCAAGTACATCCATGTATCAAGATGACCATGGGCAGGTTACTCCTGAGCTTATCCTATTATGGGATTTTTATGTGCTACTTGTGACTGAAGTAGCAGTTCTTTTCCAACACAGTAGTTTGGCTTCCAAAAAAGATTCTGAACAACACTTGCCATTCTCTGCCCCAACAAGAAGCCCAGACTTTAATCCCATTTTGAGGTGAATAAGAGCTACTAAGATGGAAACCTCTGAAGTCACCAGCTGTCTGTTGCAAAGGCTTCAGCGCTTGCTCCACATGCCTGGAAGATCCTCCTCAGGAAAAGCACATCAGGGTAAAAATATCCTCTTAAGAGGAGTGTCAGCCCACAGACAGAAGAGCCGGGTCTCTGCCAGTAAGCAGACTGATGTTCCATGCTCCTCTACCTCTTGTTAAGTTGTAGCACAGCAAAATAATTCACCCTGTACTGAGCAGTAACTAAGCTCATTATCTTTGGCAAACAGACAAACGGCAGAGCCAGAGAGAAACAGACTCTAGAACTGCCTTACCCCGCCAGTGACGAAAATTTATAGGAGTTGAGAGCACCTACAGGAGCACTCAGAAAGCACAAATACCATGACAGGAAATTTCTCAGAGCAAGTTTGAGAGGGAAAGAAGACATTATGGAGACCAAACAAGGTCAGCAAATGTGGCTAACAAACAAGGGAGTCTGGGGGTGGGGAGGAACAAGACGGTCTAAAATTCTCATGATAGGGTACCTTAAAGTCAGAGAGAGATGCCATCAGCTCATCCAGTTCTCGTGTAGCTGAAGAAGCAGATATACGGGTCTGCTGCTGACTGGTGACCCGCTGGGGGCTGCTCACCTCACCCTGGCTCACAGTGATTGCAGGGCTGACAAGGGGAGGGAAACAAAAAATGAGTGTGTTTAAGCCTGGGAGAACACTCCTAGACTGAAGGTGCCACAGCAAGAGAAGTGTCATCGGCACTGCCCACCCTGGCCAGCCCTCCCCCAGACCCAGCTTCCACAACGCACACAGACCCTGTCTCTCTGCCAAGTCTAACATGAGTGTGTACACACACCCCCATCCATTAAGAAATGGATGATGACCAAACATTCATTTTGTCACACAGTGGATATTTGTGATCAGCTATAAATCCGAGTTTGAATAATCCACCTCTTGTAACATAACTTATGTATTCTTTCATCCAGGAGTAGATAAAAAAGCACCAGCATCCTCATACGCCCGCTTGATTTTTGACCCTTCAGACAAAGCCCATTTTCTGTCTGCCACTCTTCTGCAGCATCTGCCCCTAGGCCACAGTCACTACTCCCACAAGAGCCTGTTCCACCCCATCCAAGCCAGCAATCACCACTCACACTGGACTTGGCACAGAGCTCTCCAGCTCATCCAGCAGGCTCTCCACACTGGGGCGCACATCTTCGATCCCACGTGCACCATTTCGCTTTGGCTTTTCTTTTGTCGGAGGTGCAGCCTTCTCTCCCACAGAGCTGCTGCTCTCTGGGACAACATAGTGAGGTCCTGTCACGCTGGGCAGCGATGGGCTTCTGTTGGCTTCATCTGAGAAAGGTGAGCAGGAAAGAGCCATTCAGATCCTCAGGTCCATATATACATGTTGATTGCAGGCAAGAGCAGCAAACTGCCCAGATATCTTGTGAATATCCACCCTTGAGGATAGTCAGAACTTAACAGCACAAGGGCCTGAGCATCCTAATCTAACTTTGAAACTTCAGTTAAGAGCCAGTTTTGAAGCTGGCCTTGCTTTGAGCAGGGTGCTGCACCACAGACCTCGAGAGATCCCACCCATACTAAATGAATCTTTGATCAGGAGCTGGAATGGGATGTTGGAAAGAAAAAGCAGGCTACTCTTTTGAGACTCAAACTATCCACTCATACCAAATGTCTTGCTATTCCTTACCTGCTGGGAAGCTACTGGTGGGGTTATGTTGAACAGCATTCAGTTCCAGAAGAAGTCTGTCCAGTTCTGAGAGGTTGCTGCCCAGAGAGGAGCTGGTCATTGTGGGAGATGGTTCTGCAGACTTCTGCTTGTTCGGGAAACTAAAGACAGAAGGGAAATGTGAAACTTCCATCTCAAGATACAGCAGAAAGATGGAGGGAAACTTACATTAGGTTCACAAAGTTTACAGAGGTCCTGTTTTCAAGCTGATGCTTTTAGCTCTGGAGGAAACAAGATGTGTGCTTTGTGAAATTACTACAACACAGCCACATCTTCAGTTGTCAGTTACCAAGAAACAGCACTGATGGACAGGGCCTCAGATTTTAGGACTGTGTGCTGCACAGCCCTGTAGCAAAGAGTTAACCATCTGCAGATCCAAGACACACACGACAGCAGCAGCTTGCATACAGGAAAATTACTTGTTTCTGCTGACATCACACCAGGCAGCAAAACCCTCCTCCCTGAAGCAAGGGAATGCAGGTCTAGTAGAGACTGCAGAAAGAGGCAAAGTACAAACCTCAAGCTATCAACAAAGAGTCAAAAGCAGTAGGTTATGTGGTAGCCTCCCTCAGTGCTCAAAGTCTCTCTTTAAGTCCTCGAACCTTTAATTTGGGGAACTCTAATCAATTTTTAAGACAGTAATTTGAAGCTATTTTCTACTCTGTTAAACATACAAGCCTTGAAAGAAGTTTACCTGTGTGCAAGTGTGTATAAAACACTGGCTGTAATTATGGCTTATCGTATATGGGTGATTCCATTTACCACACATAACTGCAAGCTGTTTCAAAGCAAAACTTAGCAACGATGCAGTGGTTTTTACAGTAATCACACTGTAATTGCAGCCTTCCCATCATCAAGGGCAGGGAAATTATATTCTCCTAGTTTTACAAATAAAGAAATAACTTCTAATGCTCTGGAGATTCTTATTTTATCGAAAAGATACTTTCCAAATCCAAATGGGAACTTCTATCTTGTTAATATGTAACAGGCATTAGGACTCTGACACCTGTAACACCAGTGACAATTGTGGAATTCCGTAAGGGCAGTTACTATCTTGCAATCTGAGGAGGGCATGCTTCATCCAATCTCAAGCACACAAGCTATAATGCCCACCAGAACCAAGCCATGCCTGACCCTTGTACAGGACTTCCAGGCTGTAATTACCTCTATTTTGTACTAACTGCATGCAGCCATCTGAAAAAATGGCAATTAGTATCTCCATTAGGCCAGCTCTTGCCTCCACCCAGAATTAGTTCTGGTTGAAAGCAACTTCTTGTCCAGCAGAAAGAGCTAGGCATAGGTAAACAGGACACCACAGAAATACCAGTCTCCACACTGTAAAAAGGTACTCGGGACAGAGTGCGCTGTAGAGAGCCATCAGAGCTGAAACTCTGACAGCCTCTTCCTCACTCATCCCCATGTCAGCAGAAAGGTCTGTCCTACCATAGAGCACTCCTCCAACCTCTCACTGTAAGAGCAGCCACTTTTGCAAGTATAAACTAGTTATCTATCTATCTATCTATCTATCTATCTATCTACCATTTGCTGAGATGAAAGTTTAAGAAGTTTGAATTCACTTGAAAATTCAAGTCACTGCACATCCTGCTAGGCCACAGGTAAACAAGTTCCCTGGGATAACTGACTCCAAGGCTACCCTCCTCCTAAGGAACTTTTGTGCTGCTTAACAGAGGGATGGATTTGTCACTTGTCTCTGGAGCATATCCTTCACAACACAATCCAGATCCTGTTCTGTCTAACAGATCCTTAACCTCTTCTGCAGCTGAGCAAACCAAAGGGCCAGGTCAACATTTGGAGTGAGTATGAAAGTCACAGTGGCCTCTGACAAAAGAGATAATCAAAATCCACACAAGACAACACAACATATGCAGGGAGCAGCGTTTGTTTCCACTTACAGAAGGCTGCTCAAGCCACAAGAGGCTCAAGTTGTAAGTCAGGCTTATCTCTTAACAGGACTAGATAGATACCTGTAGACGTGTTCCTCTTCACTGGCACGGGGAGAAGGACAGCTGAGCCCGTCTCTAGGAACAGAGGCACTGGAGCTTTTGGCACAAGAGCTGTATATAGGAGACTGGGACTGAGGCTGTGGAAATGAGATTTGCATCGGAAACAGAGAATACAAAGCAAATATGTACACTACTGCATTGCAACCCCACACATGGACACGGCAGAACAAAGCCCAGCAGCAGACAAAAACCATCTGCTCTATAGCCAAGCCAGCCTCTATCAGATGAGCTACACCAGGAACAACTGCTCTCCGCTTGCTTCAGATTTGCCTATGAGTCGTGGATCTCTGCTGGAAAGCCCCTGTCTGTTTCCCACAGGCTACAAGGCAGATGACTAACACTAATCACATCACACCACCATCTTGTCGGAACAATGATGAGGGGTTTCAATAGTTAGCTCTATTAAAACCTCACACCTCCCTCCATTTCCCCACTCTGTTCATAGCCTCACTTCTTGCTACTCTCCCCCCTTATCTACTTCCTTGAGAGATACTGCACCAACAAAACAAGTGTGCTCAATCCCCATGCACACACATTCACTTACTTGCTGGTGGACGTATCTGGACACACTGGGTTGCCACTGGTCTAAGGGGTCAATCACAGTGCCATTCAGGGCCTCACTGGAAGGTGGCGGAGGCACTGGAGGTGGCACAGAGATCTCCTGGTACGTGTGGTTTCCAGTTGGGTAGGAGTAAGGTGTTTCCTCCGTTAGAAACACTGGCCGTTTGGAGATATGGGAGGTGGTGGATTCCAGGTCTGCCAGTAAGGCATCTGCAGGGGGAAAAAAGTAAGGTAAAATCCTGGACTACAGGTTCTTCATTATTCTCATTCAGGATATCTGTATCAGAAAGTCTTTGGGAAGACTTTTTATCTAGGGTGATCTGCTAAATGCCCTGGAAAATACTCCTTCAGGACTGAACGAGTTAATCCAACTTCTGGTACAACAAAAACACCAAGAGGTAACAAAGCAGCCAGAAGACCTGTGCCAGTCTCAGAGTTTTGTCTTAACTGGAAAACTGCCCAACAACAAGGACCTGTATTCACTGCACCCTGCAGCAGAGCAGCCTAGATGAAACCTGCACAGAGATCTACTCGCAACAGGATATTGACACAGACTAATTACAGGCCCCACATCATCAGAGAGTCATTTACCGTGGCCGCAGGCACTGCTTTCTGCAGGAAACAAGATCTCAGGAGGGGTTTTCTCCAGAGCCTAAGGTAGTGGAAGAAGCATGAAACTTCCAAATTAGTTCATCAGTGCAGCAGGAGTACGTGTTTCAGTTTCCCTAACAAAAATCCCTCTGGATACATTGCACAAACAGTTAACTAGCTTCCAGAGGCTGCCAGGTAAACGCCATTTCTTCTCCTGGCAACAATTCTCAACTTGCTGGGTGGAGACTGCTCACAAATTCCTGAAGAGAAGAAAAACTTCCACGAGCTACAAACACTGTCACTCATGCCAGGCAGAGGAACCCACGTCACGGCACCTCTCAGAGATATTAAAGCAGAAAAAATGCTCCCCCCTCAGAGGGAGGGCATGAAAAGGCAATCCCACCTTTCCACATTTCTCCCTTCAGACTGGCCTCTGCCCATTCCCAAGCCTGCACTGCTCTGTGGTGACTCACAGGCAAATCCTGCATTGTTGGACCTCCTGTCCTGTGAACCCACACTGCAGAGCCCACTGCAGTCCCTGGTGGGGAATCTCCAGCCTGCACTCACTTTCTAAAGAGAGCCTGGCTGGCCGGGTGCCCAGCTCTCTGCTGGGGCAGCAAGCTCTGCTGCACACCTCTTTAAGGCTGTTAGAGAGGAGCTGGTTCACTAGGGACATCAGTGCTCTTCATTATAAGAGCATCAGGACATACCTGGCAGGTCCCTTTGGAGATGTGGAATTCGGCCAGACAACAGTAACTCAACTTCATCAGAATTAGGAGAGGAGGCTCTCAGAAACCCCCGGCATCTCCCTCCCCACCCAACTGTCTTCAGGCAGGCTCAGTTGGCAGGATTTGTCTTTCCCCTCCTGCATGCAGTACCTGCAGTCAGGTTTAGGGTGTGAGGGGCTCAGCCTGAGCGTAGCCATCACAGAGCATCCTCCTCCAGGGTCTCAAGGAGCTCAAGTTCTCAGGTGGCACCAGAACAGCACCTAATGCTTGCCCTAATGGCTGCCCATCATCTCCAAGAGGGCAGGCACCTGCCAGCTCAAGCCATTTCCTGATAAGAGCAGACCACACCAGCCAATGCACTTAGCAACCCTTCAAGAAAATACATTAAAGGGTCAGATGGAGGACGGTATCACTGCACTGCAAGATGAGGAAGGTACTGCTTCTAGATTCACTCTCTTCCACAAACCAAAGCATCACACACGCCAGAAAGAGTTCCTGCCCTCAGAGAACAGAATACAGCCATTAGCAAATCAAATACTGTGTTAAATTAACTCTATACACCTTTCAGTTAGTCAAAAAGATGCTCCAAATCATTTAAGCCACAGGCATCTTCCTAGAGGGGCCAAAATACCCCAGAAGCAGCTTCTCTGGAGAGATACAAGTTTTCTGCAGCTGGGGAAAAACGAACTTCATCTTTTTAAGCAAATGAACAGCTGGTGATTCCAGAGTGAAAGGCACATACCTCAAGGAAACTGCTGAAGAGCTGCAATTCCTTCGACCAGGCAAGTCCTATGACTGGAGGTTTCGTGCACACAACCTCCAAGAAAAGTGCTATCCCAGAAGGTGTGGTTTTTGCTTCTCCCCACCAATGACAAAGGCAAAGCAAACTCCACCAGGAAGTGAAAATCCCATGAGGGTGCTGACTCCTCCAGCCCTGCAGAGGGGACCCAAACCACTTTTCCACCCTCCACCGCCAGCCCTTGCTGCATGACAGGCAGATGTAACCATCTCACCATAAAATTCACCCCCTCAGCTCAGTGCTGGGCTGAATGAACCATCAGACAGAAAACCAGCACGTTTCCTAACGGCACAGAAGAGAGGAGCTCACCTACATTTACTGGTTTACTTTTACTCGTCTGCAGAAGAGCAGCAGTGTGGAAATACCAGGAGCAGTCTGCCCGCAGGTCGTGAAGGAGTTAAGGAGAAGACATTACAGTTTAATGATTAACTTCCCCCGTACCCTCCCCCTTCCTGACTTGAGCAAACAAGGCAGAGCTGAGGAATGGGAAGCAGAGGGAGGAGAAAAGGAATCACTGGGTTGCTCAAACTGCACTTCAGCTGTACAACTGATACTGAAGCAGCTGCACAAAGACACCAACCCACTCGGTGGGACAGGAGGAGCAAGGCCAGCCAGGAGCAGGACAGACTCTCATACACCCCTTGATAGGTGGCAAAGGATCTCTCCTTGAGCTTGCTGGTCCCCATATTCTGCAAAACCAGGGTCCACCCTTCTACACCCCAGTTGCTCACGTCCATGACAGCAGGAAGGTCTTTTCCCATTCATGACCATGCCCATTGCTGCTTCCAGCCACTGTTGTCCTATCCAATCCCATCAGCAGGTACAGTTCCCTGAAGTTCTGCTGGCCTGGGAAGTTGTGCCCATTCAAATGGTCCAAGAGGGGCAGCAGAATTTCCCTGGGGAGGGCAGGGTGAGAGCTGTGGTGGCACAGAGCCTGCTCAGCCCATCCCACCTCATGGGCTTCACCCTGGAGAGGGAAGCGACTGCAACCCACAGGCACAGGCTGCAAAATCACTTCCTCGGAGGTCAACCCTAAGGAGTTCTGCATCCAGAAACCAAAACCCAACCCAAGCCATTAACATCTTACTTTCCATGCAGCACCTCATCCCAAGAGGTCCCAAAGCACTGTGCATTCATTTAGGATTTGTGCAACTTTTTAATGTCACCAGAAGGAAAGAGGATTTATTCATGGAAAAAGGATGCATTGCTCTCTATCTTTCTTTCCAAAAGGGACCAGACAGCTGTAACCTGATGAACTGTAACAAAGATGGCCAGGTTGGACAGGGCTTGGAGCAATGTCCTCTAGTGGAAGGTGTCCCTGCCCACAGCAGGGGGTTGGAACTGGATGAGCTTTAAGATCCCTGCCAACCAAACCAGGCTGGGATTCTATGATTCTGTGAAAGATGCTGTGCCTTGTGCAGCTCTGCACCTCACATTGCAGTATTGAGCTCATTACAATGACTGCTCCTTAAACAGAATATTAAATACATCAAAATACTAAAGGTTCGATCGATTTATTGGGTAATGAAGTGTTCCTTCGCAAAGGCGACTCCTGAGGGTCAGTGCTGCAGGAGGTGTAAATCAACCAGTTAGTCGCCCACAACCCGTAGGAAGCAGTTGTCTGTGCATTAGGATGATCCAGTCCAGTTCCCACAACCACCAGCCATCAGAGGGCACCACCACATCCTTGCATGGACAAACAGATGAAACCCAGCAGCAATGGCCAACTTGGCAGTAACTTCAGTGCACTTCTTCATCGTCGTGGAGTCAAGAACCTGTCCTTGTCTCAGGCACACAGGAATTTTCTGCCGGTGCCACATGTGCTGCAGCACCCCAGGGGCTATCAGCCAGTACTCTGGAAACAAGCACACGTACTGACCTCATCACAGTTTTACTGCTGCCCCAAATACTCCCTGAAGTACTACAGGCTTGGTTCTAGGAGGCAGAATCTCCCCAGGTTAAAAGATCAGAGATTCATTTATCTCTAGAGAATAGATTTAACCATATTGTGGCAATTAGGTAAAAGAGACAGGGTTATACTAGATCTTCGAGCCACTGCTCCTCCACAGGATCACTCTTCCTTCCACTCTCACCATGGTAAGAAGCTACTAACAACCCACAGACAACTCACAGACATGTGCATGGTGTAGAATCCAGTTTCCAGTAGGGCTGTGTATATAGAAATGTGTATTTCCCCCTCTATTAACAGCATGCTGCTCAGTGGGGTGTGGAAGAGTGAGGGATACTTGCTAAAACACCATCAACCCAGATGCTCCTGCTTGTCATCACGATGCTGGTGCAGTCACACAGCTGATAAAACCCTAACTCAACAGTCTGCTGCAGCACAGTGCATGTCAACGTGTGATACCAATACCTGGGTACTCCATGGGCTCAGGCTATTTGGCCAAGCACATGGTAAAACTGCATGCAAAGATGAGACTGAGGCACAGAAGGACAGAGTCCTCCTCCCTACAATGGGCAACCCACACACTCAATTAAAATCACACTCCAAACACATCCTCCCCAGTGTGGGAGGACACTTGTGTTTGCATTCAGGTGGTTTTTCCACACAAATTTTCCTGTGGAGGAAGGACAGTTAAAGAACGTATCACATTTGGTACCTTTACTCCTATAAAGCACTCCAAGACATCTGGAGGTCCAGATATGTTAGTTTCTCCCTCTCTCCCTTGCCTTTCTTTTGCCAAAAATCATCAACTATAAGGTCCTTGGGATTCTGGTCTTCAAATCCCACATACAGCTTTGCATATACATTAGATATGTATGAGTGGGTCTTAATAGCAACTGCACTGCTTCAAGGTAGTTCCCAGCATCTGCCAAAGCTCTGCTAGTCACTTAAACAGCTTGGGATAAGACCTCTGCAGC